ACTTTTAAATCAACTCCACAATCAAACAACACTAAATAGACGAACTAAAATACATTAAATTCGAACTAAATCTATGAAAAATCTATCTATGAAAAATCCATTTTCAATGAAAACAACCAACCTTTCAAGTCGCTGGTGACCTCTTTGTGGATTTTCAGGTGGTCGGTTTCGTGATTTGCTTGGGTCGGTCAACGATGAGAGGGTCGGTCGACAGGAGAGGGTGTCGTCTGTGAGAGCTTTCCTTTTATCAAATGAGAGTATTTTTGGCTTTTTCCAGGTTAACCTACATTTTGACTTTTTTTTTTTAATTTTATATTCTAGTCAAATGTCACTTTGAAAATACACAACAGTGAAAAGGTTATTTCCTTGTATTTCCTCGGGAAGAAGATGGGGTTTTGGTTTTAAAATTTTTAATTTAATTATTTTATTTTACTTTAATTGTTTTATTATATTAAATATAAATTTACGATTTTAACTTTTTAAAATTGGCCAAAATTCAATCAATCTCTTGACTATTGGTCAACTAACAGTCAAACAGTATATTTTTGAAAGGTTAAGGACATTCGTTGGCACAAATTGAAGGTTAGGGTAATGTCTACAAAAATTGAAAAAGTTAGGGACTACTGCTGCAATTTTTCCTATTTAATATCTAAATTAATTTCTTAACAGTTTAAATTAGGAATAGTTTGTGAATACATTAATGTTAAAATATTACGCCCCATGAAATTAAAATTTAGATTACATTCTAAGTTAAAGTCAATAATTAATTTTAACCATATATTTTATGAGATCTGCAACTTTTCAAATTTGAACAACACATTTATTCAATTTTTATCAAAATTTGATAAAAAATAATTTTAATCCCCACCAAATAAGGGTTAAATGTGCTTTAAATATTTTTGTTGGTCAGTTTTATTTAAGGTTTTCCTTTTGAATAATGTTATTCATAGTGAAAACTATTGATAATCATCATACGTGATATACATGTGACAATTTTGTTATTTGATGTATTAATGTGATAATTTTTTATTGCTTCATTCGTCAAATAACATAATTGTCAAATGTATTCCACGTATGACGATTATCGGTAGTTTTCACTATGAATAGCATTGCTCCTTCCTTTTTAGAGACATACGATATTTGACTCCTTGTGCTATATATTTAGTACATTGTACATGATAAGAATTAATAAATGCGGACATAATTATTTTTTTAATATAGATTTTAATATATTTCAATATTGTCTGAATGATATGATTAGTGAAATAATTTTATGCATACAAGCCCCAAAAATTAATTTCTTTATTTACCAAACTTGTAAGTTTATTTGTCCTTGGCCTGCCGGCCAATGGTATATGTATTATGGGGAAATTACATAATTCAGGTGTTTGAAGATTGAAATTCAAAATTTGAGGACCACGTTTTATTATTTAAAAATCAAGTAATATATTAAAACCATAACCATAATTTATCACTCTCAACTCCCTCACCTCTCATTTCCGCGCCTCATCTCTCCTCCATTTCCCTCTCTTTGTAAATCTCCCATCTACCCACCGTTGAAGACACCACCTACATCAACAATCCACCGTCGAACTCACGGAGATGATCGAGGCAGAAGCGCAACAGCTCGATCTGAAATTTTCTCCTTCAAGACCACAGCTTACATCACCTGTTGGGGTGGTGGATCTTTGCTGCTATGACGCTGCCATGCGACGCTTTCACGACAGTGTCATGACGGGTGCTATGGGTGTGTATGTAGTGGCGGAGTGGTAGTGGTGGCGTCGTGACGGGTGGGGATGTGGTGGTGGTGACGGGTTTGGGGTTTTTTGTTAGGTGGTGCTGTGGGTGCAATGGTGGCGACAACGTGGTGCAGATGTGGTGTGTGGTGGGTTCGAATCTGGTTGGTGATGGTAGTGGTGGCAAAAAAGCTCGTCGGCTCGGACGGCTTGGGCTCAGCCCGGAAAAAGCCCGAG